TCTGCAGTTTATTTATTATTTTGGTACCAGGAGTCCAGGGGTGTTGTCTGCGGCCCACTTGGAGGGGTGCCCAGGGGTGGCTTCGCGGCCCACTTGGAGGGGTGCCCAGGGGTGGCTCTGCGGCCCACTTGGAGGGTGCCCAGGGGTGGCTCTGCGGCCCGCTTCCGGGAGGTACCTTGTGAATACCAAGGCGATGACAAAGTCCGGGTTCACCTTCACTCTCCAGTCACACTCCTTGCCCGGGGGGTAGGGCTGCGGGTAGTTAGGGGACAGGATGACGCCCGTGGGGCCAGTCAGGTTCCCGCCGCACGCAGCTGTCACAGAACATAAGCCACAGGGGAGAGTTAGGGGCGAGAGGGCCCTGGCTGAGGCCAGCGGCAAGGAGACCTGAGCGACATTAGCAGTTAGAAAGGGCCCACTCACTCCGCCCCACCCCAGCGGCCCCGGCCTTCCTGCACGTCAGGGTGCCAGGTGCGGCACACGGACCGGCTCCTGCCATCCTGCATTCCGTACACTGCACCAGCCTTCTGGCAAATGCAATTTTCTTCTTATACTTTTAACTTTGACACAGTTAAACTAGATGACATAATTCTCACACCCTCTGACATGCACATGAGCACAGGTGCTAGTACACACAGACACACACACACACACACAGACAGGAAAGGACAACCAGGGTGACACAAGGACGGACACTGAGCTGGAATACCAATCGACCTCTGGAAACATGCTTCGAGCAAAGTGCCTAACATGTCATTATTGTAAAGGGTGGAACCCGAGACCAAGACAGCCTGTGTGTGTCTTGCAGGCACTGGTGGGTGGGCCCTGCTCCCTCTGTGCCAGTGAGGAATTACACGGCTCATGGTCACTGGCTGATGGGCATCTTTCGTTCTTGAGTCTGAGCACAGTTACGACTATTTCCTACACCAGCTACGCTGTCCCTGAGACTGTCTACCCCGTGGAAAAGAGAGAACTGCTAGGTGGGTCAGTGGGCAGTGCATGGATGCCCCAGGCTCCTGCCTCCTGTACTGAGCTTCTCTAAGCTCGTCCTTGCTTCCTGGGGCTCCACAAACCACAGGCCGCATGGCCCCTCACTGGCCACATGTGCAGTTCCAAAAAGTCAACAAGAGGAGGAAATTTGCCCTAGTTGGTGAGGTCCACTGCCCACACACAAAAGGCTTGTGAAAATGAGGCAAGAGAAGAGACGTGCCTAAGCATCTTCCGCGGCAGGTGGTGCTTAAATGCTCAGTCTTCCTGACCATCCCCTCCCCGGGCCCAGCAGGTCAGCATTCAGCACTGCCGGATCCCCAGGGGCGCTGTGGAGAGGGAAGGTGCCAAGGGTCTGGAAGATCCTCTTCAACAAGAGATTACAAGGTGACAGATGCCAGAGCAGGGACACCAGTGCCAGGGACCCACCACAGGAAGACAGCGAGGAGCACATCAGGGCTTCGTGTGGCTTCCAGGGGTCACTTTCAAATGCCTCCGCTTAAAAGCTGAATGTAGAACTTGAGTGCTGCCTTGTCTCCCCAGCTCACTCTGCATCTGAGGTTCTGCAGTTTATTTATTATTTTGGTACCAGGAGTTGAACTCAGGACCTTATGCTGCCAGGCAGGTGCTCTGCCGCTGAGCTACGTCCCTGGCTCAGGTTCTTCATTTTGGCATCAGTAGATTTTATTTAAAGAGCATGTGAAGTATTTTAAATAGGACAGGAACTTAGTGGGAAATACAACCCACGACTCTGGCAAGTTCTCCAAAAGGAACAGACCAGGTCGGGGGACCGGGAATCATCTCCATGCCTGATTCTGAGCACATGTGCGTGGGGGCTCCTTCCTCCGGGGCAGCACACTCTGGGGAGATGCGTCAGTGCTCCTGCCCACCGCCGAGTGTTCGCAGCACCACACATTCCCAGAGCCCCTTGGGGTCCACACGCCCTCTCCTGGGCTGGTAGGGTGCTGCCCCAGAGGCTTCTGCGCATGCAGGGTAAGTGCTTCTCAGAGCTCTGTAGAGCCTGGGCTTGGGGAGAGGACTTCAGGCTACAGGAAAACAAGCCTGGCGGCTCTGGGGTCACACTACTGGAATTAGTGCAGTCAGGATGCTCCGTTCTCCAGAGGCGGGCCCACGGGGCTGAGCTGAACAACCTGAGCAGAGCAGCCTCTTCTGAGGGGCCCTCAGCACGACAAAGAAGGCCACGTGAACCACAGGGCACAAACCCACCCAGCCCGGTGACACGCTACTGGGCGTGAGCTGCAGAGCAGGGGCGCGGCGGCCTGAGGGAGAGAACACAGTACCCAGGCCGGACCAGGGAACCAGCAGACGCTGATAACGAGCGGGCAGAGGGCTGGACCCAGTGGCACCGCATGTGTGCCCAGCGCCATGGGGGCTGGCGCACCAGGACTGCGAGCTGGAGCCCAATCTGGGGACTCAGTGAGATCCTAACGTACAAGATGAAAGTACAATAAGAAAAAAGTGCTGGGAATGTAGCTTAGTGTGAGAGTCCTGGATCCAATCCAGAGAGAGAGAATGTGAGAGGGACAGAGAGAGAGGGAGAGAGGGAGGGAGAGACAGAATGTGACAGAAGGACACAGAGAGGGGAAGAGAGAGAGAGAGAATGTGAGAGAGGGACAGAGCGAGAGAGACAGGCAGACAGGAGAGAAACACAGACAGAGAGAGGAGGAGAGAGAGAGAGACAGATGGGCAGGCAGGGACAAGATGGACAAAGAGAGAGGAGAGAGACAGAGACAGTCAGATGGAGAGATGAAGAGAGACTGAGAGAGACAGAGAGAGAAAGCTGGACAGAGATGGCAGAGTGAAACAGAGACAGAGAGAGGGAGGGACTGGCCAGCTGGCTGCTCCTCCAGAAGGCGCAAATGAAAGTGGCCCAATAGCACGTAAGAGAAGTTCAGCTCTATGATTAACTTAAAATGCCAATTACCAACTCTGTACTTTCTGCTCACAATTAATTAGCACACAGCATGATGCATAGGACTGCAGTTACCACACTATGATTTTCTAAGTCAGAGAAAACAAACAGGCATGGCTGATACCTGTGTGAGCTGATGCCACCATCTTCTGAGTTTCGCAAAATGTTAAAAAAAAAAATATCCTAGAGATGCCAGTTTGCAGAATACACTACTCATGATTATGGGGACTCTTGTTAAAACAGGGGTGTTCGTTACATCTCTCTGCAGAGTAGGAAAGAGAAACTGAGCCATTCGATAGTTAGAGCCCAGAGAAGTCAGCCGCGGAACCTCCAAACAAAACAGTGCCCGCTGAAGGGCGGCGCCTCCTGGGGCACGCGGGAGCCTCGGGGAGAGGCGCTGCCCGACCAGAAGAGCAGGGGAGGCAGAGCGAACAGGGAGCCGCCTGCGCAACTCACGGTCACGACCACAAAATCCCAGCCAAACCTGCAGCACTCTGTCACTACTTAAAAACATTTTTAGGTGAATTGCTGTATTCCAATTTATGAAGCTTGTGCATGATTATGTTACTAGCAACGGCTTCCAGCTTTTTCTTCTCTTTTTGATTTACTGTAACTTATACAGCACGTGCAATGGATGTGCACTGCCTTTCAACAAGGAGAAAGGAAAAAAATAAGGTGTCACGAGCCCTCGCCACACGCTGAGGACGAGTGCAGGTACGTGACTGGATGATGTGCTAACGTGTGTGAGCCTCGCACAGGACACAGCCTCACCTCAGGGAGACGAAGGAACAGCTAACGGGAAGACAGTGCCTGTCTGTCCCCTCCTGTGGGTCACACAGTGCCTCTGTGTGTAGCCGGGATGCTTGCCAGAATAAGTGAGTTTTAGCTGCCTGCAAGGACTTCCGCCTGCCCTGGGAGCGGATGCTGCAGACAGACACGCGCTGTGTGCTCTTTGCAGATGAATGGGTCGCTTGGTTCCTGGCCAAAATTAGGTGGCAAGAGATGAAAGGAGAAAAGACTAAGAAGATGGGGAGACAGTGAGATTTTGTAATTCTGTGTTCTCATTAATGTAAAACGATGAATTACCATAAAAGACTAATTCCTGGCTGTGCTGCCTCTTAATCACCAAGAAATTAAAAAGATGCAAGAAAGATAAAGGAAGAGAAGGCTTTCTCGTGTGAAAAGCGGCCGGGCTTGGAGGTGGAGGCTGCACCTGTCCGTGACGCCTCTGCGTGTGGGAGGACCGCAGAGAGCCCGCGAGCTCCGGGTCGGGCTGGGGCTGTAGCAGACCGTCCCAACCCTCGGGACAGACTTGCAAACAGAGCCAGGAGCCAGGGTGCAGCAGGCAGAGCTGAGGGCCGGCCTCTGTCCTCAAGTACTCTGTAAGGGGATGCCAGAGCGCCATAGGCTGCCGGGGCCCAGAGGCCGGCTGTGTGCAACACAGGAAGGCCGCAGGGCACACCTCCGCAGGGCCAGCAGGGCCACTCCTTGAATACACCCCAGCGTGTGATCCCTGCCTCTCGCTCAGATTAATTGAATTTTACAGTTCTCACGCAAATTGTAAAGAAGTACTAATTAAACTGTGGTAGTTCATTAAAGTAACAAAGTTTAGAAGAGTATCTTTCTACAATGAAGACAGAACACCTCAAATAGGCGTTCTATGTTCAAATATTTAATTGAATGAAGACAATCCACGTGTAACTACCACCTTGTGTGAAACACATTTCATGTTTCCCCAAAGCCAAACTTGTGGCAGGCGCCTCAGATGACTGGTAAGGCGAGGCCTGCAGAGCCACACGATAGCCTTTTAATAAGGCCAAACAATGAATTTTTGATGGAACAGAAAAACAAGCTTCTCCTTTTGGCCTTCATTTTCACAGAAGCAGTCTCATCGCTACTTGCGGGAACTGGACTTAAAATGCACTAAATTTATGGAAAGACACGTCTATGAAGAGGAAGCCCTTCTCCCCGAGGCTTGCTTAAGGGCCTGTTTCTACATTAAAGACGAGGAGACCGACGGCAGGGTTCTAAGTTTTCAGCCACCTGCAATTTTAAATTGCAGTGCTTTGCCTGATCTATATTTATACAAGAACTGCGAAGCACAGGAAGTGTTAGGCAAATGTCAATTTCTGTACATTAAATAAATCACTTCCTTTATTTCACCTAATAAAATAAAGTCTAAAGGTTTACCATAAAATTCCAGCGTGGCATCACAGAGCCCCAGGACACATAGAAGCTTGTGAGAAATATTTGTGGAGGAGGGACACGGTAGCGTTTGCATTTCCAAAGCTAAAACCCCTCTTTTCATGGCTGGTACCTATGCACGTGGGCGGGTCTGGCTGCCAGAAGAACCGGTTGTTGAGCTGCACACAGGTGACCTTGGCTTGTCCTTGCAGCTGGTACCCTGGGTCGCACTGGAAGGTGAGGGTGTCGCCCGGCTCCCGGCTGTCTCCGTAGCGGGTGCCGTTCTGGGGCATCCCGGGGTCATTGCAGGTGGATGCGACCGAAGCTGCAAGAACACAGTGGCCAGTCAGTCAGTGCCTGGAGGAGGGCCCTGGTGTGGGCACAGCTGGGGCACAGCACTCAGCACAGCGCCACGGGCCCTGGGCCCACGGGGTCGTCTGCACAGCACACCTTCCCCCAAGGCACACACTGCAGGTAACGCCCACCCTCCCCATGCTTCTGTTTCACAAATCCTGACAAAACACCAACCCTGGGGCAAGCACAGACACGTCCCACGTGTCCCAGTGTGCCCTGCGCCCACACAGCACTGCCCCAGGGTTCGCTGCTGGGCAGCAGGAGTTTAACAGAAGCACACACTATGCTTTAAAGGACTGAACTAAGAACTCCAATCTCAAGGAACCATGAAGGAAATACAGTAGAGTTCGTTTTAGGTTCCGGGCCACAGGGTGGCCGAGGACCTTGCTGACTCCCTGCCCCGAGCAGGCGCAAGGCCAAGTGGCGCTGAGGCAGGGCCCGCCTGGTGAGCTGCGCACCGATCACCTCGTGCTTGCGGAGCGCTCCCACTTGGGTGTCCTGACCGCTTGCTTTCTCGGTTTTTCAGACCTAAATGTCTACTTACATTATAACTTCTTACGTCAGCTTCTTCGCACATGTGTGTGGCACAGAATGCCCACACTCCTCAGGGAGGTGACACGGCATGCTGCGCTCCCTCGGCCTAGGGGCCGCCCTTTGCTGGCCTGCTCTTCCCCTTCCTCCCATCCCTGGATCTCCTGCCCTTTTTGGCCTATTGTAATCTTAGCAGAACACCTAGACACTTTGTATTTTTTGTCAAAAAAAGATAATGAGAAAAAGAAAATGAAGGGATGGAGGAAGGGGGAGGAGAGGAGGGAGAGAGGGAAGAAAGAAGGAAGCAAGAAGAGAAAAGGAAAGAGGAGGCACTGGGAACGCCACTCGAGCGAGATGGGCTGGCGGCGCAGGCGGGCTGGTGCGCAGCCCCCGGCCGGCTCAGGGCTCCGCCCTTGGTTGGCGCGCACCCACAGAGTGCCTCTGCAGCTGCACTCCCCAGGCCACTTCCTGAGTCCATCCGGGCCTGTGGATTCCTCAAGCCCAGGATCACACCACGTGGACACGCTGGCTGTGCTCCCCAGTTCCTGCCACCACCACGGCCCAACCCTGAAGACTCAGGCTGACAGTACACTCCCAGCCCGCCTTATATTCCACTAGAAGGAGCTCCCTCTTCCCTCCACTGCATGTTAGGCTGCTGGGTTCATTTTCCTTTCCCAGTAAGTGATCCAGCACCTACATTACCGTACTGCAAGAAAGCAAGGAAAAGCCTCTGAGCAGCTGAACACTGCCAGATTTAATGATACCAGTTGGCTTGCCTTTCTACTTTTTAAATTCATCAACATTATTCTGTCATCTATCTATCTATCTATCTATCTATCTATCTATCTATCTATCTATCTATCTATCTATCTATCTATCCATCCATCTATCCATCCATCTATCCATACGAACAACTACCCAGCCATTCACACAACTATCCGCTACTCCACTAAGTCATCCACTCATCCATCTGTCCAGTCGTCTACTTGTCCACACAGTTAGTTACCATCCACCCACCATCTGCCATCCATCCACCATCCATCCGCCATCCATCCACCATCCATCCGCCATCCATCCCATCCATCCATCCGTCCATCTGTCCGTCTGTCCATCATCCATCCATCATTGATCATCTGTCCATCCATCCATCCTTCCATCTATCCACCTACCTATCTATCCACCCACCATCTATCTATAATCTGTCATCTATCTATTATCTATCTACCTACCAGCTTTTCTTTCTATCATCTAACTGACTAGATAAATGAGACCACTTTGAATATAAAGTTAGGCCATGAGAAACCAATGATCCAGGCCTGCTCTTTCAGAATGCGGGATTTTTAATCTAAAGGTGGAAGTGATGAGGAAAGCAGACAGGCGGATGTGCAGAGCCGTGCAGGAAGGGTCAGAGCCCAACAGGAGGGTCCTGGCCACTGGCCTCAAGCACCCAGCCACTGGCCCAACCAGCGTCAAAGCCCAGACCGAAGTAGGACTCAATGTTGCTGCCCTACAGATCTTGAGCTGAGAAATCTATGAGAAGCAGAGGGAGGCTGAGTGACGGGGTCTCTGGGACAACCCCTGCTTTAGGTCTAGGCCAGCCCTGCCCTCCTCTCCCAGTGATTGGAGGCAGAGGCTGTTCTAATCACTGGCTTTCTCTTACTGGGTGTTGTGCACTGTGACATTCCTGCCTGTGGCCAGGAAGCAGCAAGACCAGTAAGAAGAGCATTGGCTCCGCTCACCGCTGCTCTGGCCAGAAGAAGCAGGCCACAGCCCACCATGGTCATCCACACAGGTCCAGGGCTCCCCTCCCAGCTCAGGCCCTCCCTGAGTTGCAAGGAGCTCACTCTTCGGATTCCACTAATCACCCTTGCTTTCCTGGGTATCGCTGCAACCTGATGCCTTCACCGGGGGGGGGGGGGGCCCAGCTGGGTGCCCATGCTGGCCCCGCAGTTACTTGTAGAACTGGCACCCTGAAGCCCCCAAGGCTGTCATGTCAGGCTACTGGGTCAGGGCCCTTGTGGCCACCGCTCCCATCATTGCTCGGGTTTGCTCTGCCCGAAGACCTGTGGTCCACTCTCCCATCCACCAGCTCTGAGCTGTTTCTACCCAGCAGCCACTGGAAATTCCTGGGTTCTGTGCTTACTCTTTCAAGTGGTTTGCAGTTCTTGCTTTTGAGCTTTCCTCCCACAGAGCACACAGGCAGAGGTACATCTGTCCACCCTGCAGCCCTGTCTGCCCTGCAGCCCCGTCTGCCCTGGAGCCCCGTCCGCCCTGGAGCCC